CCCAATGCCCCCAAAATTGTTGTACCCTCCGAGTTATTTGCCGTGATTATCATTAAAAATTAGATAAACATTCACACGCAAATATTCGCGGGGAGCCGCGGGTGGCTCTTTTTTCCACCCGCCCAAATGGAAACCCTACCAATGAACTAATGATATATTTTCTACATATTTTTAATTGTGTTCTCTTGTTTTACATGGTAGTCGTAAATCAAATTAAATATTGTTAAAAGTTATTACTGAAATTTCTAAAAGTCATCTGGAGAACTTTAAAGACGTATAACTTTTTTTTCCAATTTTTTTTCGAAATTTCCGAGTAATATTATTTTGTAGCAAATTTTACAGAGCTTCAGAATGACATAATTGTATACTTTCGGCATCAAAAATGAAGATTGTTACGCGCCTTTAAAGGTGGGGGGACATGAGATTTTTCGTAGTTTTTTTGTAGCTAGAGTATGCATTCTACCGTCACGGTGTACAACACTTAATGTCACTCTGCGTACAGCTGTCGTCCTCGCCTTTACGTATGCAATCGGGCGTACGCTTTCTCTTTGCCCGCCTGGCTCAGTCGGTAGCGGCGCCGCACCCTCAATCATCGCCCTCACAAGTTCAACTCCTCGAGGGGCATCTTTGAACGGAATTTCGAGAACATTATTTTTTTCACTTTCTTTTGTTTAAAGGCGCATAAATTCCTTTAAAATTTGAGGGAAGAATTCAAAGTGATATCATTTTGTAGCTAATTTAAGGAGCTTTCGAATGATATAAATGTCAATGTTTTAAGTCAAAAATGAACTTGAAAATGTTGAAAAAAGGTTTTATTGGGCTTTTTTTCTTCCATATCACAACCGCAAACCAAATGAATGATCCCAAAAGATACAAAACTAAAAATGGGTCCCGTATGGCACGGAATTGAGGGAAAGGGAAATTCGAAAAAAAAAATTTGAAAAAAATTTATTCAATCGGTAGTTTCATCATCGGTGTCGGAAGCCTCATACCAGAAGACGTCAGAGCCGGTGTCCATTTCGTTTTGCTGCAAAATATCAGTTTATTTTTAAGATTCTTCAACAATTCTCAAAGATTTGAATTTCTTGCGTTGAGAGCTTCAAAATGAGTATAAACATGGCTGGGACACGATGCTTTTGAGTTTTCCGACTTTAAAGGCGCATGGAGGTCCCGAAAAGGTCCTGAAAATCAAAGCTCAAGGAAAGTAGGTCATGGTCATACTCATTTTGAAGCTCGTAACAAGCTCTATTCAAATTTTCAACTTCCTAATTCTAAACTCACCTGCTCTGCCGGATTCTGTCGTCTTTGCTGTGCTCCGTTCGGCATTGGTGCTCGGCATATAAATTCCTCTCCGAAAAAGTAAGCTCCATGCTCACCGAGAGCAATAAACGTATTACCAGAATCCAAATGTCTTGGGAAAATTGGCATCGCTGATGGAACCTGAGATTTCAGATGACGAAGATATCCCATGACTTGACGATCAGCCAATGAGAACACTCGGAACGTTGAATTCATATTCTGCCACGTGGCAATTGTCAGCGCTTGTGGATTCTCTCGAATTCTCTCGGTTAGTGTGAATTCGCCAATTTCTTCAAGCTTCTCGGCGGTGACTCTAAGCAATGAGGAGGATGGGGGTGTTGGTGGACGGAAAATCTGGAAATAATGTAGCTTTAAAATAAGTTAATGATTGTGAGATTTCATTTTTTGAATTTAACTCGCTGAGAGCTTCAAAATGAGCCTAGACACGACTAGGCTCCGCCCACTTTGAGTTTTACGACTTTAGAGGCGCATACGGGTCCCGAAAAATGAAATTCATGGAAAGAAGGGCATGTTTATACTCATTTTGAAGCCCGTAACAAGGGAAAATTGAATACTGCAGCTTTAATTGAAATTGTAACAAATTTGAATGAGTTACGGTAGTTTTACTAGCTCGAGGACTCTGTTTAAAGGCGCCGAGGATACCTGAAAAATGGAAATTCAGAAAAACCTTGTTTTTGTCATAACTCGGCCTAATTTTGAAATTTCTACAAAATCTTCAAATTTTCCAATTTATCACAACAAGAGCTTCAAAATGAGTATAATCATGACCTACTTTTCTTGCTTTTCGATTTTTTGCGATTTTCCGAAACCCTATGCGCCTTTAAAGCGGAAAAAAAATTCAAAGTGGGCGGAGCCTAGTCATGTTTATACTCATTTAGAAGCTCTTAATACGGCAAACAAGAAATCCTACTTTTAATTTCATCTAATTCCAAATCCTAAAAGTTACGGTAGTTTTACTTTTTTGCACCTATGGTAAACATCTCACACATAATAAAAAGTGGGGGTCATGAATCATAATGGTATGTACTCCTATGACATTTGCACATCGTTATTCAAATGAGAAATATAGTGTTTTTTTTTGTGCTAGGTACCGTACCAGGTATCATTTGAATTTAGTAGGGGAAATTGTTTGAAAAATTTCGAAACTTTTTTTTCCAACTTTTGGGCAATTTTCTGATTTTAACGCTTTGATTTTATTTTATCCGTATTCACCGTTTCAAAAGCTTCAAAATAAGTATAATCATGGCCTACTTTTCTTGAATTTCAATTTTCAGGCCCTCTATGCGCCTTTAAAGTCCAGAAAAATCTGGAAATCCAAAATAGGCGGAGCCTGATCGTGTTTATACTCATTTCAAAGCTCTCACCTAAACTCAGAATTCCAGTTTTTATTAGCTCTAGATACAAATCAAACGAGTTACAGTACCTCCAATCCCTGCTGAACTTTCTGGCTCAACGCCACCATCATCGGTTGGATATTTTCAAATGTGGAAGATAGGTAAACAGATTGTTCAATGGATGATGTGGATGTGCATGGACCCTCGCTGAAAGAATAAAAGATATAATTGCTCATCCTTAAAAGGTCCCGTACCTCCCAACATTCTGCAAAACCTGTGTCATTTCTGAGATATTCTGTAGCATTTCGGCGATTACTGTATCCAAATTTGCGAAATCTTCGAAAGAGTGCCGGCGACCGACTGGAGGGTGTGCCTGGAAAATATTTGGGATTAAAAATCGCGAAAAATCTAACTCACCATTTGTCGATTCGGTCTGAGCTCATAAGATGGCGCAATACCAGCCGGAGGAGGAGCTTCTGACGAAGTGGGCGGAGCTTGTTGTCTTCTGGAGCCCATCGTCGTCTTTCGGTTGCTATGACGATGAGGAGGAGAGGATGGAGAGGAATTTGGAGTAGTAGCAGTGGTGTTGGCGGCTCTAGAATAATGAAAAATATGTTAAAATGAAAAGAGAGGAGGGGGGAAAGGGGTGAAATTGGAATGTGTGAAGAGAGAGAGAGAGAGAGTGATAGTTGCCTAGAGGGTTAGAGAGTGTAGGAGGTGGAGAGAGTGGTTAGAGAAAACCAAACTGCTCAGGAGATTAGAATCGATATCCTAATGCGGATTTTGGGGACGAAAATGACTCTGGAGTTTAGAACCAGTCCATCAAAATCCACAGAAGTACCTCGAGCCACGTTTATAGCTACAGTACCTTGAGTAATATTGTCCCAAACCATATGAAACTTAAATTTTCAAACTCAGCAAGATCAGAGCTTCAAAATGAGTATAACCATGACCTACTTTCTAAAATTTTAGGGCTACTAAGGAATCAAAAGTGGGCCAACTAACCCAAGAGCTTAGAGACACACTACAACTTGATTAAAGCTACCGTACCTCGATCAATTTTGATCCCTAACTTATAAGACTTTAATTGTTCCACTCAGCAAGATCAGAGCTTCAAAATGAGTATAGTCATGACCTACTTTTCTCAAATTTCGATTTCCAGACCTCTATGCGCCTTTAAAGTCGTAAGTTCCAAAATGGGCGGATTCTAGGCTTGTTTATACTCATTTTGAAGCTATGAACGTGCCAACTCCAAAAAATTTGGTTTCATAAGTTTCGGGGCAAAATGAAACGGGTTACGGTACTTTTAACCTTAGCTATGAGCTTTGTGGTTCAGAATTTGAAACTTGTACTTTTTCAGGTCCTGAAAATCCCAAAAATGGAATCTAGAAATGTCCCGAATTCAGTGAAATTGTAGTTACTGCCCTCGCTCAAACTCCATAAACATTTCCATAAATAAGTCACCCCCTTTTCTTGAGGGAGCATATGATGATTAGTTTTGCTTCACACGCACATACACACACCTTCTTCTTAGCAACCTTCCCTCCTTCAAATTAAAATGTGCCCCTCTCTCTCTCTCTCTCTCTCTCTCTCTCTCTCTTTCCACATGTTCTAATAGGAAAGGATACTAATGAAAAGAGGCTTCGGAAATGCGAGGAAATGAAAAGATTTAGAAAATAAAAGGGCTGAAAAGGTGTATGTATGTATAAGATTGCGAAATCAAGAGATTAAAGTATTGGAACCTCGTCTAGGGGAATTCAGAAATAGAAACTCTTGAGCTACATAGCAGGCCTGTGCGGCAACAAAAAATTTTCGGCAAATTCGGCAAATTCGGCAATTTTCGGCAACAATAGTTTGCGTCTCTTTTTTAGTAAAATCGATACGTAACTCACCTGAAAATGCTCCGATCAGGCTCAAAACTACAGAAAAGGTGTGTCATGCGTTTCCTAACAAAGCAACTACAAAAATTGGCAACTCAAAATCACATTTTTTATGCTAACTATTTTTCTTTAGCAATAGATAGTATTCCAACGGTTGAAAATATTTGTTCTGATTGTGAGTTATGAAAATAGTGTACTCAACTTGTTAGGCAACTCACGACACACGTTCTCTAGTGATTTTAGACAGATTGGATAATTTTTAGATGAGTTGCGACTCATGATATCTACTTTTCTCCTATGCTCACTAATTTGAAGCTCTTTTTTAGATCCGATGCAAGTATTTTTGATGATTATTGGGAGACATTACCTCTAAAATTCACTCTGAGGGATGATGGTGTTCAAAATTTGATTTTTCGAACTTCGAGTAGGGTTTCCATTTGGGCGGGTGAAGAAGCGGGCTACCCGCGCCCCCCCCCCCCCGCGCAATTAAATGCGTGTGAATTTTAATAACATTTTTAAGGATAATCACGTATTTTCCAAAAAAAACTGGGTTTCTCAAATCAAAAAACTACAAAAAAGATAATATTTTCCTCACGTAAATATTCGCGGGGGGGTCAACGGGGGGGACCGCGGGGGGTAAGCCCCCCGGGTAGGTGCGGGCGGGTGAATCGCCCCCCAAATGGAAACCCTAACTTCGAAATCATTTTTTTTGATTGAAAAAATTGTGAAAAATCTCTAAATTCAAAAAAATTTCAGTTGCCGAATTCGGCAATTCGGCAATTTCGGCAATTTCGGCAATCGGCAATTTGTTGCCGCACAGGCCTGCTACATAGACTGTTGACCCTTGATGGACTCGGTCAAAAGTGTCTTACCGTTAATTTTAGGCTTTTGTAGATCAATTTTAAACAAATTTCCCGTTTTTCACGCTCCAAACCTCAAAAACTAACCCCGAAACTCACTTTCTGCAACGTGCCATTTTTGGGACCTAAACTTGCTTGTGTTGTGTTTCCTTTGACGGTTTTGGTTACCTATAAATAATATGTTTTATAATAAAAGAAAGAGGCAAATACGCAAAAATGCGCAAAAAAGATGAATAAGCACAGGGTAATATGGCTCATAAAAATCACAAAAGGGACAAGGGGCAAGGTCCCTTATTTGAATAGAAACCACAAAAGACAGTCGGGTGGTACGAAGAGAATTAAGAGAATTAGAGAAAAAGGAAAGAGGGAGAATTAAGAAAAGATAAGCTCGCCGAGCAATACAAATAACCGGTAAATATATAAGTGTTTGTGTGTGTGTACTTTTTGTGGTGAACCGTCTCAAATAGATATAAAGACAAGGAAGTGATTGGGATTGAAAAAAAGTGACCGAAATGACCTAAAATAGCAAAAAAAAATCTTAAAAATTGGATCGCAAGTCAGATTGTGAGGCACTACAGTATCCTGATAAAGAGGCCTGAAACAAAAGTTTGAAAATTTAAAAAATTTTGCACCACGAGAAAAATCGAACCCTGGACGTCAGATTAGTAGTTAGAAACTTCTAGAAAGTCTAAAGATACTCTAAAATTGCTCAGCACAAAAATAAAAAGAATCGACACTGGATGGAATCAAACTCGGGTCGTCAGATTGGTAGTTGAAAATCCCACTGCGCCATTTATGCAATTTTCAGGGAAACACTCAAAAACGACGGGAAATTGTGTTTTTTATTTGGAAAAAACAGTGTTTCTAGCCGTTTTGGTTATTCCAGATAAAGAGACGCAGAGAAGCCAACCACCATAGTTTCTTTGCGCCTCCACCCTGTCTCTCAAGACTCGACATGTCTAGTTAGCTTTGAAGACGCATATCTCTAAAACTACGGTAATTATCAAAATGATGTAAATTGTAAGAATATAGACAATATGCTAAGCATTAAATTAATATAAAAATCAAAACTGTATCTTGTTTGGTTCTAGAGATATACCACTTTGAAAATAATTAGCAGTCGCAATGAGAGCAGATAGATGGTGGCTAGATGGTAGCATATCTCCAAAACTACGGTAGCTATTAGAAAGGTGTAAATTGCAGAAATATAGGAAATTTTATAAGCTTTAAATTAGTATAAAAATCAAAACTATATCTTGTTGGGTCCTCGAGATATATCGCGTTGAAAATATTGAGCATTCGCAATGAGACCAGATAGATTATAGCTCCTCTTTAAAGACGCATATCTTCAAAACTACGGTAGCTATCAAAAAGTAGTTAAATTGCTAAAATATGAAAAATTTAACAATGTTTCAGCTAATACAAAAATCAAAACGATATCTTGTTGAGTTCTCAAGATATATTACCTACAAACAAAACTAGCTCAAAATAAGGATCTTTAACTTTAAAGGCGCATATCCCAAGAACCAAAAGTGCTAGAAAAATATGATAAACTGAAAAAATATGTAAAATTTTACGCTGAGCAATTTTGTAGTTGACCAATTTTTTCTAGCTAGCTTGGTTTCTGAAATATTCGTCTTTTCAGTGGGTGGGGGGGGGGGGGGTCTACAATCGAAGCGACTAATTAGGGAAATGGGAGAGACAAGAAAAGTAGGCGTTGTGTAAAATACAAAACGTCTTCTTCTTTTTTCGTCCACCTCATAAAATCTTATCACTCGTTTTCTTCTTCTTCTTCTTCTATTTCCGAAAATCAATCGATTACACTAGAAAGAAGAAGAGACGCGAGGACCTAATGCGAGGGATACTGTAGTTTGGGGCGCGCAGTACATTAGTCACACAGTCAGTATTGGTTTGTTTCTGTTGAAAAATAAGAGAAAAATAAAGAAAATGACCACTAAAAATTCCTGAAAACAACAACGATAGACAATAGGAAAATCAAACCGTGTGGTTTTTTTTTGTGTAAAGAAAAGAGAGAGAGAGAGAAAGGAGACGCAGAGAAATACAGAGAAATTACAGAAAAATGTTTTAGATAAGATAAAAGTGACAATTTTCGTGTGACAGATGATGGATAGGGTAGGAGACATGGCTTCAAAAAAACCGTATGACTAGAAATGTCTGGAAAGGGAAATGGGCTTTCAAAAAATTGGAAAATTGAAACTTTTTTCAAAAATTTCTCAAAAAAAAAGTTTTTCTTTTTCTTTTTTGTTTCTTCTAACTATTCTTGTATCCCGATCAGAAAAAAGTAGGTTACTATGTTTTGACACTATCCAATGTGATTAATTGCAATTAGATCTTGGAAGCAATTGAAAAAAAAAACTTTTCTTTGGAAAAAATAATTTTCCTGACAAGCAAAAAAACTGATAAAAAATATAAAAAGAAAGCGAACAAAGGAAACATATTTGTTCTTTTTTCCAATAATTTTTTTCTTCCTATCTCTTTTTTTTTTGTTCCTCTTAACTGACAAGTTACGGTCAGCGCGGACACCCAGACCCCAGCACGATCTGTTTGTTGTGGTCGAGAGGGGGCGGGCGAAAAAAATGACAAAAAAGATATATATTTGAATAGAGGTTTAGAAAAAAAAACTGCTTAAAATTCAGGTTGGAAAAGTGAAAAATAAGGAAAATCGAGTTAAAATGAAGAGGGTTACGGTAGCGCAAAGGAAATCGATTGTTGGGTTTAAAGGCGCATAGAGAAATGACCATTGAAAACTTTGAAAATTAGTGGTGATTATACTTATTTTTATGCTCTCGTAATGCTGATTCTAAAATTATACTTTTCTTCAAAATTGGAGCAAAACTAAGCAAGTTACGGATGTTTGAAGTCTAGAGTGGGACACTTTAAAGGCGCTTATAACTCAAAAACTACACAATTTTTTCTAACTTGGGACATGATTATACTCATTTTGAAGCCCAAATTATGCCAAATTGAAAATTATATTTTTCATCAAAATTAAACCAAAACTAAGCAAGTTACAATAATTTCAAAGTTACATTGGTCACATTAAAGGCGCATAGAGGTCAGCCAACACAAAATGATAATAACTGGGTCATGATTATACTCATTTTGAAGCCCAAATTATGCCAAATTGAAAATTATATTTTTCATCAAAATTAAAACAAAGCTAAGCAAGTTACAGTAATTTCAAAGTTACAGTGGTCACTTCAAAGGTGCATATAGCCCAGGAAACCCCACAATTTTTAACATCCTCATTTTGAAGCTCTAATTATACTTATTTCAAAAATATAAGTTTTATAGAAATTGGACTAAAACGAAGCAAGTTACGGTAATTTCTAGTTTGGAGTGGTCACTTCAAAGGCGCATAGAATCCAGATAACGCGAGAGTTTAAGAATGTTGGACATGTTTACACTAATTCAAAAGCTCTAGTTATACTAAGATCCAAAACATAGATTTGATCATGATCGGACTAAAACTAGCCAAGTTACAGTAATCTGAAGTCTAGAATAGTCACTTTAAAGGCGCATAAGACTCAGTCACCGCGATTTTTGTTTGAGTTTAGTCATGTTTATACTCATTTTGAAGCTCTAGTTATATCTACTTTAAAAATATAAAATTCATCAAGATTGAATCACAACTAACCAAGTTACGATTGCTCAAGTGCCTTCAAACTTCAAAATGTTCGATTCGGAGTTCAAAATCAAAATGAATATATAACATTCAGGAGAATATGGATCCAAGAAAAGTGTCGAAATATGGTCATCTAATCCTGGGTATTTATACCTAAACCTATTCCTTTTTGCACTAATTTCCGCCGCCGCGCAACCAAAGACACTAATTACCGTATCTCGAGCGGGAAATCTTCAAAGTGTGTCAAAAACGGTTCAACTAATTAAAACGACACTTTTTTCTTCATTTCGCGGAAATACATGGATACAAAACACATAAGGAAAATGATGAGGAAGCAATTCTTGAGGAGATGGTATAATTGGGGGTAGAAAGGTGGCGGTGGTGGTGGAAGGTGTGTATTTAGGCTCCGCCCACTTTTTTACTACGCGGGTGGAATAGATTGGCGGACAAGATAATGGACCGAGATACACACCGCAGAATGACCTTTTTGTGACCCGTTTGATAACATTATTACGAAAAATTTTGGGAATAAATGTACATAGAATACGTAATGTGTTAGGGGTTAGGTTTTATGATCTATGACGACCCTCTTGGGATTTTTTGGGGGAGGGGGACATTGTTCAAAGTACCGTAGTCGACCTGTTTTCGCTCCAATTTGAGTTTAATTTGTAGAATTGAGATTAGCAAAACTAGAGCTTCAAAATGAGTATAATCATCGCTATAGAAGGTAGAATCCAATTTTTCAAGTTTAAAGGCGCATGGTGCTTGAACTACCGTAAGTCGCGGTACAGTACCTTCTTCTGAGCTAAGTCGTTACGAATTAGCTTATTTTTTGGAAGCCTGGTTTTAAAATTACCGTAACTCAATCCATTCTGCTTCGGATTTCTTGAAACCTGTATTTTTGAATTTAACGAAGCTAAAGCTTCAAATGTTTGTAATCAAGTACTAATCTCATATGTGACTAGGATACTTCCTCCTCCAAGATAAAAACCTGGTTTTGTTCAAAAGATCCAAAATTAGAAACTTTGAAACCAATTTTTTAAAAAACCTGACTGCCTAGCTGACCTCTTCAGGGATGGATTATGATCAAGACTTGTTGCTTCACGAGTTGCGCAACTTCCCGTTTAGCCTCCTCCTCCTTTATTACTCTCGGCCTTGAACATTCTTTTGGGGTTGGTCCGTTTGATGGCAATCTCTAATTGAGACGTTTTAGATGAAGATCGCGGAGCGAAAAGTGTCCACGAGGGAAGATGGTCCTGTCAATAGGTGCGTGGAGGGGGGTCCTTTTGGCGGTAAGGGGATAAGGGAGGAGGACATGTTTTATGGGTTTATGATAGAGAGAGAGGATGCGGTAGATTAGTTCTGTGTATGTCCCAGGAATGTTGGGAACACAGAAAAATGAATTCCTTGAAGTTTCAAGAAGCTTTTATAGTTTTTGATGTCTGGAAAAGATAACGGAGTGAGTTTTGAAATTTTAATTTAAAGATACGGATCTCTAAGATAGTCTCAAATTTCAAATTTTTGTGATATCAGATCGAAAAATTTCAAATGGTTCTCGACCAAAGTACAGATTGGAAGCTGATCTTTGGTTAGAAACCCGTATGGGTTTGATAAATGAGTTTTTTTCTAGTTTAAAACAAACTCTTGGATTTTTCTCACACGAAATTCGATGGAAAACACAAAATTTGAGACTATAAACTTGAAGAAATCAGTTTTAGAGCAATTTTCAAGAATTTGTCCAAAATGGCGCAGTGGATTTTTCGGCGTTACAGCTACCAATCTGACGACTCGGGTTCGATCCCACCTAGCGTCAAATTTTTTTGGTTTTTGTGCTGAGCAATTTCAAACTATTTTAAGACTTTCTAGAAGCTTCTAACTACCAGCCTAACCCCCAGGGCTCAATTCCAACTTGAGGTCGAGTTTTGGAAGTTTTAAAACCGTTCTTTTTCTGTTTTCCAATGAGAAACAGTTAGAAATAGCCTGGAAATTATTAAAATCTGTCTCAGAATCTTCTAAAATCAAAAAAAACTATCGCTTTTTGGTGATTTTAAAGGTTTTCAGAGCAATTTCCAGGAAATTGCAAAAATGGCGCAGTGGGATTTTCCATTACCAATCTGAAGACCCGGGTTCGATTCCACCAAGTTTTAAACCTTTTTTATTTTTGTGCTGAGCAATATACAACTATATTTAGACTTTCTAGAAGCTTCTAACTACCAATCTGACGTCCAGGGTTCGATTTTTCTTGTGGTCAGAATTCTTTTTTGCTTTTTTTAGCTTTTAGATTTTTCAGCTAGCTAAAAGATAGTCCAAAATAGAAAAGAAGAATAGGAAATTGAAATAAACAAAATGAGCAACACAAATTTTTGATTTTCACTCTCGAAACGAGGGGAAAGAGAAACGAGACTCCTCATTTTACACACCTTGTTGTTATCCAGTGTCAACGAGAAGGAGGAGATACTAACAACTGACCATAGGGAAGATGATTACACCCTTCGGGCTCTTTTCTTGGTCCCAAGTGGAAAAATAAATGAAAATCTCTTTTGAACAGCTGTTCCCTTCGATTTTCCCGGATTTTCCCGGATTTTGAAGCCGAAAAAGTTCCATTTTCAGCTCTAGCTCCTAAAAATGCTCATTCATCCCATATTCTTTATCTTCTTGGTCCCTTTAACATCTTCCAAACGAACCCCACCAAAGTATACCATCGATTTGGACCTACAACCATCCCAGAGATGGAATCGAGTAATCAAGGATCACTTGGAATTCCTTCCCGGGGTGGTTGAGGAGAGCAAGTGAGTTTTTCAGATTAAAAGTATTAAAAATGCGAAAAAAATCGTTAAAACCGAAATTTTCGCGATTTTTCTGAAAAATGCACAAATGGCGCAGTGGGATTTTGGTCATCAACCTGACGGCCCGATTTCAATTCCACCCAGCGTCAAACCCTTTTTGCTTTTGTGCTGAGCAATTGCAAACTATTTTTAGACTTTCTAGATGGTTTCAGTTACCAATCTGACCACCAGGGTTCGACTCCGCCTTGTGGTATCTGTCACCTTTTTAAAAATTTTCGGATTGTTTTTGGCATATCTAGCTTAAAATGGTTCAAAAAATGCTAAAAATCATGATAATCCTCTCTGGACCCTGAAAACTGGAAATTTTAGGCTATTTCTGTGCGTTTTCCTGAACTTAGCACAAACGGCGCAGTGGGGTTTTCCACATTTCCCACTACCAACCTGACGACCCAAGTTCGATTCCACCTAGCGTCAAACCCTTTTTGCTTTTGAGCGGAGCAATTTAAGACAATTCGTGGACTTCCTAGAAGCTTCTAACTACCCATCTGACATCCGGGGGTCGATTCCGCCTAATGGTCCAATTTTTGAAATTTTTAAATTTTTAAAGTGGATTTTTCGACACATTCTGTTTAAAATCGTTTGAAAAATGCTAAAAATCATGAAAACGTATCCTAGATCAACAAAAAGCGCTATTTTCGAGCATTTTCCTGAAAAATGCAAATATGGCGCAGTGGAATTTTGGTCATCAATCTGACGACCCGAGTTCAATTCCACCCAGCCTCAAACCCTTTTTGCTTTTGTGCTGAGCATTATAAAACTAATTTTAAACTTTCTAGATGATTTCAGTTACCAATCTGACCACCAGGGTTCGACATTTCCTGTGGTTCCCAAAAAATTTTTTTTTTACTTTTCAAAAAAATTTTTTAAAGGTAATTTTATGATATTTCAAACCAATTTTTTGACTATTTCAACAGAAAAATCATCCAGTTTTCTCAGAATTTTCGTCTCTAATCTAACCTTGAAATCGAACACCATCCGATGGCGCCAAGACGATACGAGGGAAGGTGAGATGCTATGTGATTGATGTGTTCCTCCTTCGAAATTTCTGAATTCTCCTGATTGACTTGTACTGATTTGTGTCCGGATTTTAATGGATGGATCAAGATTGTCATGATTGAAACCAAATTTATGGACTAGAGATTAATGGAATTAGGGCAAAAAGTTTTGAAAAAAAGTTCATTCTTTTGCCATTGTGAGGGACTACAGTAGCCAAGAATAGTTTGAAAATGACACAAATCTGAACATTGGCTGAAAAACCTTTTGAATGTTCAAAAATAGCATAAACAGCCCAAAAAATGGACCAAAAATTATACAAAATGCCCAAAAAAGAAAAAATTTCAAATTTCGAAAAACCAAAACCACAAGAGGAATCGAACCCTGGAGGTCAGATTAGTAGTTGGGAGCTTCTAGAAAGTCTGAAAATTGTTTTAAATTGCTCAGCACAAAAATAAAAAAAGTTTTGCCACTGGGGTGGAATCGAACCCGGGTCGTCATATTGTTAATAGAAAATCACACTGCGCCATTTTTGCATTTTTTCTGAAAATTCCGATTTTTGCTTACTTTTCGGCTGTATTTGGCGTATTTTTGTGTTTAGACTTTTTTTCGTTTAAAAGTAATTCAAAAAATTGAAAAATGGTCATTTTTGATATTTTTAAAATTTTCAAAAAACCAAAACCACAAGAGAAATCGAACCCTGGAGGTCAGATTAGTAGTTGGAAGCTTCTAGAAAGTCTGAAAATAGTTTTAAATTGCTCAGCACAAAAAGAAAAAAGATTCGACGCTAGGCGGAATCGAACTCGGGTCGTCAGATTGGTAGTTGAAAATCCCACTGCGCCATTTTTGCATTTTTCTGAAAAACTCGATTTTTGCTCATTTTTTGGCTGAATCAAGCTTATTTTTTGTGTTTAAGCTGTTTTTTGAGTTAAATATAACCAATAAATCAGAAAATGGTCATTTTTGATATTTTCAAAATTTTCAAAAAATCAAAACCACAAGAAAAATCGAACCCTGGTGATTGGTAGGTAGAAGCTTCTAGAAAGTCTGAAAATAGTTGTATATAGCTCAGCACAAAAATAAAAACAGTTTGGAGTCGGGTGGAATCGAACTTAGGTCGTCAGATTGGAAGAGCAGGGGCTGAAAATCCCACTGCGCCATTTTCGCATTTTTCTGAAAAACTTGTTTTTCGACCCATTTTTTTGGCGGAATTTGGCTTGATTTTTGTGTTTAAACTGTTTTTCCAGTCAAAAATAATGCAGAAAGTAAAAAAATCCGTAAAATTTGAGAATTTCGATTTTTAGGAAAATTTCAAAATAGGGATTTTTTTCAAATTTAAATTTTCGACCTTGTAAAAAACACCTCTCTAGCGTTTTTATGACCCAAACGTTTACACAATACAGATTATTTTCTACAGTATCATAAACTATCCTCCCCTATCTCCCCCCAAAAATCTACACCAGATTTTTATCTTTCTCGATTCTCTTCCCCCCTCTTCCCCCAAAATAAAATTGTGTATAAATTTTGAGACACCTGTGTGGGGGGAATCGAGGTGATTGGGTGGGTGAATAATGAATCGATCAATCAAGCGAGATAAGAATCTGATTGGATCGGATTCAATGACTAAATTGAAGAGGAAAAATTGTCCGGGAAAAATTGGTGGAAAAAAAAAGTTTTAAAGGTGGGGGGGGGGGGGGGACATGAAAAAAAATAATGTTCTCGAAATTCCGTTCAAAGATGCCTCTCGAGGAGTTGAACGTGTGGGACGAGGATTGAGGGTGCGGCGCCGCTACCGACTGAGCTACACGGGCAAAGAGAAAGCGGACGCCCGTTTGCATACATAAAGGCGAGGACGACCGCTGTACGCAGAGTGACATTAAGCGTTGTAAAAAAACTACGAAAAATCTCCTGTCCCCCCACCTTTAAAAATTTTTTGGGGTCGAACAAAAAAATGTTTGCTTTCAGATTACTTTTCGACCCGGTTATCTCTGAAAACTTGGTGTCTGGGTATTTGGACCCTGAAAAATTCAAATCTGCCACTTGATTTCCGAAAAACCCCCGTTTCCCAATGACTCCGGACATCCGGACAAACAGACCCCTTCTTAACCCTTTATGTTCCAGAAAATACATTCCAAAACCGCTTCAACCATTTGTGTGGTGGGTTGCTTCAAAAGTTGACCATTTTTTCCCACCGGAAACCCGCCAGGAGCTGGAAGGTGGACATCCGGACACACGGACACACAGAACATTTTTTAATTTCCAGGAATCGCTAGAGAATCTGGTCTTTCATTGGGTGAGATTGTGGGACTCAACATTTTGTATGATATCGCTGCGTTTGATCGCAGACAGTAAGTTTTTTTTTTCAATTTTTTTTTGGAAATTAATTTTAGGCTCTACTGCGTTTATAGGCTCTAGAAGGGTTGGAAAATAGTTTTGAATTGCTTAGTACAAAAATAAAAAAGTTTTGGCTCCAGGTGAAATTGAACCCGGGTCGCTAGATTGGAAGTGGTAAATGTGGAAAATCCCACTGCGCCATTTTTGCATTTTTCTGAAAAACTTGATTTTTGCTCATTTTTTGGCTGAATTTCGCCTATTTTATGTGTTCAAACTAGGTTTTTTCAGCTAAAAATAACCGAAAAAGTCAAAAAAATGCTCAAATCAAGACTTTCAAAATTTTCAAAAAAAATGGCCATGAGACGGAATTGAACCCTGGTGTTCAGATTTGTAGATCAAAAAGCACTGCAATTTTCAAAAATAGTTTTAAATTGCTCAGCCCAAAAAAAAGTTTTGCCACCGAGGTGGAATCGAACCTGGGTCTTCAGATTGCAAGTGCAGGAGTTGAAAATCCCACTGCGCTATTTTTGTAAATTTTTGGAAAAACGGTTAAAATCGAAAAAATTGTTGCTTCAGACCTTTCTAAGGTAGGTTTTCATGGTTTTTTAGTAATTTTCAACCATTTTCCATAAAAAAAATTTAAAAATACCAACAAAAAAAAATTTGACCACAAGGGGGAGTCGAACCCTGGTGTTCAGATTGATAGGTAGAAACTTCTAGAAAGTCTAAAAATAGTTGTAAATTGCTCATCACAAAAATAAAAAAGGTTTGGAGTCGGGTGGAATCGAACTTGGGTCGTCAGGTTGGAAGAGCAGGAGTTGAAAATCCCACTGCGCCATTTTTGCAATTTTCTGAAAAACTCGATTTTTGCTCATTTTTTGGCTGAATCAAGCGTATGTTCAGTGTTTAAGATTTGTTTTGAGTTGAATATAACCTAAAAAAATCGAAAATTATCAAAAATTGCCTTAGAATCTACAAAATCCTAATTTTTTCAGCATTTTCGGTTTGGGATGCACATCGATTGTGGCGCAAAACGAGAAGGGAGACATTTTCCATGGCCGAAATTTGGATTATGATATGACGGGTCTTCTGAAGAATATTACTGTCCACGTGGATTTTATGAAAAATGGGTCCATTTTGTATTCCGGTGTCACTTTTGCACTGTATAATGGAATTCTCACTGGACAAAGACCTGGAGCCTATAGTGTTAGCCTAAATGCAAGATGTGAGTGGTTTTTCTTGCGGAAAATCCTTTGGGGTATTCTGAAGAAGTCAAAAATATAAACGAAAAAAAAAAATGTTTGACCTCAGGGTGGAATCGAACCCTGGTGTTCAGATTGGTAGTTGAAAGCTGCTAGAAAAGCTTAGAGTAGTCTTAAATTGCTTATCACAAAAATAAAAAAGGATTGGCACCAGGTGGAATCGAATCCGGGTGTTGAGATTGATAGTCGTTGAAAATCCCACGGAGCCATTTTTACAATTTTTCAAAAATAGCTCTAAAACCGCTCAAAAACAACCGGAAATTGGGGTTTTTTGTATTTCAGGGCATCCTCAGTGTTTTTTCTCCTTATTCCGTTCATTTTTTCTAGATTCCGGGGCCTATATTGACAACATCCTAATGGAAATCTACACCAAATTCAAGAGACCTGTTAGTTTCTTCATTCGAGACGTTCTGGAACATCAGAAGAGCTATGCAGCTGCTGTGGAGACACTTTCGAATACTCATCTGTTCTCTCCATCGTATATTATAGTAGCTGGGACCAAGAAAAACGAAGGAGTCGTTATTTCGAGGTGGGTTTTGTACAATTTTTTGAGAAAAAAAATTTTCGCCACATGGTGGAATCGAATCCTGGAGGTCAGATTGGTAGTTGAAAGCTGCTAGAAAAGCTTAGAGTAGTCTTAAATTGCTTATCACAAAAATAAAAAAGGATTGGCACCAGGTGGAATCGAACCCGGGTGTTGAGATTGATAGTCGTTGAAAATCCCACTGAGCCATTTTTACAATTTTCCAAAATTGCTCTAAAACCGCTCAAAAACAACCGGAAATTGGGGTTTTTTGTATTTTAGGGCATCCTCAGTGTTTTTTCTCCTGTTCTAAAAGCTGGGTGGAATCGAACCTGGGTCTTCAGATTGCAAGTGCAGGAGTTGAGAATCCCACTGCGCATTTTTGCAAATTTTTGGAAAAACGGTTAAAATTGCATAATATGTTGCTTCAGACCTTTCTAAAGTAGGTTTTCTTGGTTTTTTAGTAATTTTCAACCATTTTCCATAAAAAAAAACCAAAATTTTGAAAAAAAATTTGCCACTTGGGGAATCTAACCCTGGAGGTTAGATCGGTAATTAAAAGCTTCTAAGAAATCTAAAAATAGTTTTCAAATTGCTCAGCACAAAAATAAAAAAACTATTGACATTAGGTGGAATCGAACCCGGGTCGCTAGATTGGTGGTTTTGGAAAATCCCACTGAGCCATTGTTGCAATTTTTAGAAAATCGCTCAAAATCGATATTTTTAGGGCTTTTTTTGCTATTTTTTAGGGTAAGTTGTTGTTTGTAAAAGTTTTCTGGTTATGATAAAGTCAAAAAACCCTAAACACAAAAGACTTTTTTTTTTGGAAAAAAATTCGAAAATTCCAGAAATCGGTGGTCGGCTGCAAATGTGTACCAACTGAATATGGATGCTAATCAATGGTTTTTGGTAGAAACAAACTTTGATAATTGGAAGAAGCAAGGAGACAATCGACGAATTACAGCGATTCAGAAATTAAAGGAAATCGGAAAAATCAATTTTGACGAGAAATCGATGGCTGAAGTATTGAGCACTTCTCCTGTGAAAAACAACTTGACAGTTTTTAGTAGTGTGATTCAGCCGGAAAATCCAGAAATTTTCGAATCGTTTACTTGGATTTGGGCCTAAAACTATTTTTTTAAAAATAGTTTTTTTTTTTATATTTGTTAATCTCATAATAAAACCTTCCATAACTTTCTTAAATTTTCTCAAAATTAATTTCACACTTAAATTTTAAATTTCTCAAGTGAAGAGCTTCAAAATGAGCCTAAACACGCCTAGGCTCCGCCCATTTTAGATTTTTCGAGAAAATTTCGATTTTCAAGGCGCACAGGGGTCCCGAAAAATGAAATAAGGGGAAGTAGGTCATGATTATGCTCATTTTGAAGCATTTTTTACAAAAAATTCAAATATTCATAATTTATTCAAAAATTGGAAATGATTACAGCGTTGGGGACAAGACAAATATTGCAACAAAAATGGTAACATTTTGTTTTTGTCCTAATTTTATTAATTTCCTGTATTTTTACCTGAAAACTGATTTATGCATTTTTCAGGTTACTAGTTTCAAAATGAGTATAATCATGACCTACTTTCACTGAATTTCATTTTTCACACCCGTATGCGCCTTTGAAGTCGAAAATTGAAAGTGGGCGGAGCCTAGTCGTGTTTATACTCATTTGAAAGCCCATAACGTCCAAATTTTGAAAATGCAAGTTTTATGCAAAAATTCGTTAAAACAGCCGAGTTACGACCAAATCAATATTTTTTGAGAAAAATTCGAAAATTGATTTTTGGACATAACTTTGAAAATTCTTGAAATTTCTCAACTAAACATACATTTTTGAATTTGCCACGTTTAGATCTTCAAAATGAGTATAATCATGATCTAATTCCCAAAGAATTCAAAATTTCCGACCCCTATGCGCCTTTAAAGTCGAAGATTCAAAATGGGCGGAGCCTAGTCGTGTTTATACTCATTTGAAAGCCCATAACGTCCAAATTTTGAAAATGCAAGTTTTATGCGAAAATTCGTTAAAACAGCCGAGTTACGACCAAATCAATATTTTTTGAAAAAAATTCGAAAATTGATTTTTGGACATAACTTTGAAAATTCTTGAAATTTCTCAACTAAACATACATTTTTGAATTTGCCACGTTTAGATCTTCAAAATGAGTATAATCATGATCTAATTCCCAAAGAATTCAAAATTTCCGACCCCTATGCGCCTTTAAAGTCGAAGATTCAAAATGGGCGGAGCCTAGTCGTGTTTATACTCATTTGAAAGCCCATAACGTCCAAATTTTGAAAATGCAAGTTTTATGCGAAAATTCGTTAAAACAGCCGAGTTACGACCAAATCAATATTTTTTGAAAAAAATTCGAAAATTGATTTTTGGACATAACTTTGAAAATTCTTGAAATTTCTCAACTAAACATTCATTTTTGAATTTGCCACGTTTAGATCTTCAAAATGAGTATAATCATGATCTAATTCCCAAAGAATTCAAAATTTCCGACCCCTATGCGCCTTTAATGTCGAATATTGAAAGTGGGCGGAGCCTAGTCGTGTTTATACTCATTTTGAAGCTTTCAACGCCCTAAATTCATAAATCAAAACAAAATTTATAAAAATCGAGAAACGAAATGGTCGTTTCTCTGTGTCTCTTTTCCTTGTTTTTCTCTCTCTCTCTTTCTCTCTCTCTCTCTCTCTCTCTCTCTCTCTCTCTCTCTCTCCTCGCCCTTTACAATGTGTGTGTGTGTGTGTTTTCATCTGTGTGTCTGCGCCTCTCCAAGATTATACTCTCTCGTTTTCTATTTCTTTTTCTTCTATTTATCGAATATATATATATATTCGTTATTGTTTATTTTATACATGAATCATTTTATTTTGTAATTTTGTATTTTTGAAAATTTTTCAAAAATTAGAAACCTAATAAAATTAGAGTTTAAAAATCTGAAAAAAAAATCCTTGATTTGTCAATTTTCAGACTGAAATTTCAGTTTTTAGATATATTTTTTCAAGATCTTTCAAAACTCGTTAAAAATTTGAAAATCCAGAATTTTGAGGATTCTGGAAGAGCCAAAATTCTTTTTCCCTCGATTTTCTTTCTTTTTCTCTGCGTCTCGTGTTACACAAAATCTCTAGTTTTTTTTTCCTTTTCACTCACGGATAGGATGGGGGGAAGATAAGTGGAGTAAAACAGAAAGAAACATCTAGAACTTTTTTCTTTTTTTTTTCCTCTCGATTTTCAGTCATTTTCAGTAATAATCTTTTCAATTTTGGATATTTTCAAGTTATAGTCATATTTTTAAAATTATCACATCAAGAGCTTTCAAATGAGTATAAACACGACTAGGCTCCGCCCATGTTGAGTTTTATGACTTTAAAGGCGCACAGGGGTCCGAAGTTTTGAAGTTTTTGGGAATAAAGTCATGATTATACTCATTTTGAAGCTCTAAACGTGGAAAATTCAAAAATGTATGTTTAGTTGAGAAATTTCGAAAATTTTCAAATTAATGTCCAAAAACCAAATTTCGAATTTTTTCACAAAAATATTGATTTGGTCGTAACTCGGTTGTTTTAACGAATTCTTGCATAAAACTTGCATTTTAAAAGTTTGGACGTTATGGGCTTTCAAATGAGTATAAACACGGTTAGGCTCCGCCCATTTTGAATCTTCGACTTTAAAGGCGCACAGGGGTCCGAAGTTTTGAAGTTTTTGGGAATAAAGTCATGATTATACTCATTTTGAAGCTCTAAACGTGGAAAATTCAGAAATCTGAGCCTTTTAGAGATATTTCGAAAAATAAAACTAAATGAAAGCTCTTCAATTAATTGGATTACTGTAGATTTTAAAAATCGCTAAAAACAAAATTATCGTTTCAACATCTTAGTTTCCCTCTATCTCGCTAGTTCTTTGCTCATTTTTGCTTGCTTTTTTTCGCATTTCTCCTGAAATTTTTCCAGATTCTATGCACATTCAATATTTTGTAAATCAATCTACCCAACGGCTTTATCCACTCGGAATACATGAAAATGATGCGTATTTCTATGTGGATACTGTAGGATCTCTGGATTTTGTCACTATCGACGTCCGATTCCCAAATAATTGGCACAAAATTGGCCAATTTTCTCGAGAAGACGTTTCTTATGGATTTCCAGCACTTTCTCCAGATGCTAATTTCATTTTTGTGCTCTTTTTGAAAATGGCAGATGACTGCGTTTTTGGTGTCAAGCGAATTCACTTGGAAACTGGAAAAGAGGATGAGTTCAGGTACGTTTTTTCGCTAGGTACAGTAATACGAGTAAACTGCAAAACTTAGATTTGAGTTTGGCTCAATGAGAGCTTCAAAATGGTACCCCACAAGCCTAGGTTTGACGCAGAGGCGTTATTTTGGACACCTATGCGCCTTTAAAGTCAAAATTTCAAAATGGGCGGAGTCTAGTCTTGTTTATACTCATTTCGAAGCCCATAACGTCCGAATTTTGAAAATGCAAGTTTTATGCAGAAATTCGTTAAAACGAACGAGTTAGGACCAAATCAATATTTTTGTGAAAAAATGCGAAATTTGGTTTTTGGACATAACTTTGTTATTTGTCGAAAATTTCCAACTAAACATAAATTTTTGAATTTGCCACGTTTAGAGCTTCAAAATGAGTATAATCATGACCTACTTTCCAGAAGCTTCCTAATTTCGGACCCCTATGCGCCTTTAAAGTCGAAGATTCAAAATGGGCGGAGTCTAGTCTTGTTTATGCTCATTTCGAAGCTCATAACAAGTTGATTTCAAAAATGCAACATTCGTTACTAGGATATTGCAAAATAACATAAATAGGACCGAAACATGGGATATTTGGAATTTTAGAAAATTTTATTTTTCCCCTAATTTCCTTTATTTTTGATATTTTGAGCAGCCAACTGTACCACAAATTTTCTTTAACGACAAGCTTCAAAATGAGTATAATCATGACCTAGTTTTCCTGAATTTCGTTTTTCGGGCCTCCTATGCGCCTTTAAAGTCGAAAAATCAAAGTGGGCGGAGCCTAGTCGTGTTTGGGCTCATTTTAAAGCTAAGAATGAGCGGGCTTTGAAAATTCACTTTTTACCTAGACAAAATGGTGAATAATCAAGTTATGATTAAAAATTCAAAATTTTGAGATTTTTCATTGCAACTCATTCAAATTTCGTCCAATTTTGCTGATTTTAGACTCAGAATTTCCCAAATTTTTTTTAAAATACATTTTTTGAAATTTCAGCTACTCTGGAGACTGGACACAAGTATTCCAGATCAATTTCGAGAGGGTCACACTTCGAAGTGGGGATAATGGTGAATTGGTGCTCTACGATAGGACCATTGTTCAAGGGACCCTCCCATTCTGGAATATTCGGTTGAATGAGGATTCCAGAAGTTTTGCTGTTAGATATAACCCAATTACCACGAATGGAGAGCAAAATCTGGAAAAAGCTTGCCTTTTTAATGTCGCTGTGGATCCGGTGAATCGAATTTTTGCAAAGCTCATGGTGGGATCATTTTTCATATTTTCGTCTTAAGAATATGAAATTTAAGTTTGCCATGTTTAGAGCTTCAAAATGAGCCTAAACACGGCTATACTCCTCTAGCTTTGATTTTTCGACATTTTTCGGCTATAAAGGCGCATAGGGATTCGAAAAAATCAAGTTCACGGAAAGTAGGTCATGATTATACTCATCTTAAAGCTCTGAACGTGGCGAATTCAAAAATGCATGTTTCCCATCAAAATTCTAAATTTAAAAAAATCTATTTCCAGACCCCTCGAGAGATGTTAGTGCACACTGGAACTCAAGAAAAATGGGTCCGGTACACGATACCATCCCAGGACTCTCTAATTGACGTTTTTGGGACCGATGGATTTCCAGTTGAAGAAACTAAACGACTTCATGAGACTTATGGTAGTCATGGACACAGAATTGGCGCAATGCAGACGCGATTAACGTTTCATGATTCAAACGGAACTGTGGTCGCCCGTTTTGTACATAATAACAAGAAGTGCACGACAGCTGTGGTGGAATTTGGTAAATTGCATTGATTGTAAAATTAAATTTCACACATTTTTCTAGTTGACAAATTTTCGATAGCTAAAGTGCTTCTTGAGATATGCGCCTTTAAAGTTGGAGCGCCATCCACCAAGCGCCAAAAAGATGTACCAACTTTAAAGGCGCATAACTCAGAAACGACCGTAGCTAGACAAAAATTGTTAACTAATGAGAAGTGTAATATTAAATTTCACACATTTCGTTAGTTGCAAGTTTTTAGATATCTTCACCGGTTCACGAGATAGAGACTCTCAAAATAACAAGAAGACGCAGAGAAGCGAGAGCGCTCTCGCTTCTCTGCGTCTCTCCTTAAACTTTAAAAGGTTATATCTCACGAACCGTTAGAGCTCTGAAAAAGTTATCAACTACAAAATTAAGGGAAATTCAATTTTACACATTTTCCGTTTCAAATTTCTCTCCTAGATTTCTTAGTTTTCAAGTTATGCGCCTTTAAAGTCAGCTAACTCCAATTTCGTTGTAATTTTCAGACCACACCAGTCACCAGATCCTTGTTCGAAAACTAGCAACGTTCCATCTACACGATGAAGTCTCCAGAATGTTTTATTTGATTGCTACTCCGGAAATCCACGTTTTTTTGGGTGTACGACACAGTTCAGTGGTTTATGTCAGGGTAGGTCAAAACAGTCTTTTTCTCATTCGAGGTCTTGTGGTTTGGGGAATAATCTAAACGGTAAAAAATTGGATTTACTGTACTCCCCATGTTTAGAGCTTCAAAATGAGTATAAACACGACTAGGCTCCGCCCATTTTGATTTTTCGACTTTAAAGGCGCATAGGGGTCCGAAATTAGGAAGCTTCTGGAAAGTAGGTCATGATTATACTCATTTTGAAGCTCTAAATGTGGCAAATTCAAAAATTTATGTTTAGTTGGAAATTTTCGACAAATAACAAAGTTATGTCCAAAAACCAAATTTCGCATTTTTTCACAAAAATATTGATTTGGTCCTAACTCGGTTGTTTTAACGAATTTCTGCATAAAATTTGCATTTTCAAAATTTGGACGTTATGGGCTTCGAAATGAGTATAAACACGACTAGGCTCCGCCCACTTTGATTTATCGACTTTAAAGGCGCATAGGGGTCCGAAATTTTGAAGTTTTTGGGAATTAGGTCATGATTATACTCATTTTGAAGCTCAAAACGTGACAAATTCGAAAATGTAAGTTTTTCTTAGAAATTTTGAAAAATAACAAAGTTGCGGTCAAAAATCCGGAATATACGAAATTTTAAAAACTTTTATTTTCCTCATAACTTTCTAAATTTCGAATATGGACTAAAAAAAGCACATGGCTTAATTTGAAATTTGAAAATTTTTTAAATGCGTACAAGCATGACTAGGCCCCGCCCATTTTGATATTCAGCTTGGATTTTCGATTTTAAAGGCACATGGCCTCTTGAAATAGACGTAACTCATTTCATTCTGCTTCAATTACAGAAATTTTGATGAATTTGAATTTGACGTAAAACACCCATCAAAATGAATATAACCATGGCCTACTTACCATGAAATTCAAAATTCCGGACCCCCTATGCGCCTTTAACGTCAAAAAAACAGGCACAAATCAGAATAGGAGGAACATAGTCGTGTTTATACTCATTTTGAAGCTCTTGCTCTGAAAAATTTGGAAAATCTAATATCAAATCTTTCAGCCGCGTAGTTTGGAAGAAATCGCTGGATGGAGAATGCAGAAAATGTTGAAAGAAGACGGATTTTATGAGGAAGTGTCTGGAATCGCGGACTCGAAAGGATTGCTGAAATTGTGTTTTGAGAAATACTTGATAACAGAGGATTTGAAGAATTTGGAGCTTAACAATTTATAGAAAAGTTTATTGAGAATGTTTTGATTAAAAAAAAATAAATGTTACATTATACCGTACTTTTTAAGGCATGCGCCTGTAAGACAGAAAAAAGTTATGAAAAATTTCAAAAATTAATTAATTAACAATTGACTTGTTCCCGAACAACCCAATGATAATTACCGCCAAGTTTCTGACGACGAATCCAAAAAGTGTACTGAAATCCAGCATGGTTTTTAATTTTGCAGTGATAATCGAGCTGAAGTTACACAACTATTGAAATTTTTGAATTCAGCACGTTTAGAGCTTCAAAATAAGCCTAAACACAACTAGATCATATGAAAATCGATTTTTGGCTTTAAAGGCGCATAGGGGTCCGAAATTTGAAATTTTTTGAAAGTAGGTCATGATTATACTCATTTTGATGGGCTTTCTACGTCAAACTCAACTTTGTTGAAAATTTTGAATTTGAATCAAAAGGAAGGGAGTTACGTTAGTTTTAAGAGGCCATGCGCCTTTAAAGTTGGTAATTCAAGCTGAAAATCAAAATGGGCTGAGTCTAGTCATGATTAGACGCATTTTGAAAGTCTTTAAATTTTAAATTAAGCCATGTATTTTTTAGTCCGGAATATTCAAAATTTAGAAAGTTATCAGGGAAATAAAAATTTTCAAAATTTTGTAAATTCCAGATTTTTGGCCGTAACTTTGTTAATTTTCAAAATTTCTTCAAAAAGAATACATTTTTGAATTTGACACGTTTAGAGCTTTTAAATGAGTATAATCATTCCCTACTTTCTTTGAATTTCAATTTTTGGGACCCCTATGCGCCTTTAAAGTCGATATATCAAAGTGGGCGGAGCCTAGTCGTGTTTATACTTATTTAAAAGCCCATAGCGTTCAAATTTTGAAAAAGCAAGTTTTATGCAAGAATTCGTTAAAACAACCGAGTTACGACCAAATCGATATTTTTGTGGAAAAAAAAATCGAAATTTGGTTTTTGGACATAACTTTGTTATTTTTCGAAATTTCTCAACTAAACATACGTTTTTGAATTTGCCACGTTTAGAGATTCAAATTGAGTATAATCATGACCTACTTTCCAGAAGCTTCCTAATTTCGGACCCCTATGCGCCTTTAAAGTCGAAAAATCAAAGTGGGCGGAGCCTAGTCGTGTTTATACTCATTTCGAAGCTCTAAACGCGCTGAACTTAACAATCAAAAAATAAAAAAAATTTGAAACTTACAATGTCACCAAAATGGGGATGAGGAATCCATGGACAATTGCAATGCTCATCGTTGGGCTCTTCTAGAACTTCTCCAGACACCAAAACCTCAATTTGATCGCTATTGTTGATTCTGGTCGCATAGAGATCTTTGCATCCTGCCACTGGACCACGAGAGGACCATTTCTGGGAAAAAAAAATAGTTTTGGTACAGTAATCCCCAAAAACGGATTACCCCATTCCAGTTGACAAACGTCGATTTGAACACTTTTCCAGGCTCCAAATTCAGTTTTTCAGCGGCCACATTTAGATACAAAATTCCAGTTCTGAAATTTTTTTTGAAAAAATTCAAAAAGCTTTCAAAAACTCACTGTCCCAATTCGAAAATCCACAAAAATATTGATTCCTTGCCGTTGTCAATTAAAATACTGGTAATTATAGCTTCCGACTCAATTTTCGTCACTTTTTCCTCGACGGAGCTACGCGGTGCCGGAGTGGGCGGAGCCTAAAATAACCTTTTTTTTTTTGAAAGCTCTCAAAAAATGCGCCAAGGCACCGAAAATGCGCCAAGGCACCAAAAATGAGTCGAGCTATGAAAAGGCTTGACCCATTTTCAGTGTCTTGACGTCTTTCTAGTACCTTGGCGCATTTTCGGTGCCTTTCCAAAGCTTACCCCATTTTTTGGCCTAGATAATGATCTTGATCGTTGTCTCGCACCTCTTGGAGCTGATTTGGATCTTCCACGGCCCTGAAAGTGGAATTTTACGGGTTGCACGAGAAATGCGCCAAGGCGCCGAAAGTGCGCCAAGACACGAAGAATGCGCAAGCACGTTAAGGTTCGGAAATTATGATGAAATCGCAATGCTGAAGCTTTTCCATTGAAGCATTTTTCCTCGCCAAGGCACCGAAAGTACGTCAATGCACTGAAAATGTGCCAAGGCACCGGGTCAGGGCTCTGAAGATACACCGTAAGCATCATAATGGCATCAAAGAACTTCACTGACGTTTTTCCGGTGCCTTGTCACCTTTTCTAGTGCCTTGACACATTTTCCGTGCGTCAAGGCACCAGAAATGTGTCAAGGCACCGAACATGAGTGAAGACGTAAAAATTGGTTACGAGGCCAATAGACAATAAGGAAGGGAGCCTTGAAGTTTTTTTGGTGCCTTGGCGCATTTTTGGTGCCTTGGCGCATTTTTGGTGCCTTGGCGCATTTCCGGTTTCTTTTCAAATCGAACCTCATTTCTTGGCCTCGATGATGATCGCTGTCTCTGAGTTTGGCGTTCGATTGTCTGAAAAAAATTTTCTGGAATTCTCAAAAAATTTAAAAACTGGTTTTCTTACCGAAAGTGAATTATCCGACTGAGATCCCAAAACTCGAGTTTTTGCTTGAAGTAGGGAATATTTATGGGTCGTCTGAAAACTTCTAGAAATCTACAGAAAAAAATGCACGAAAAATGCGTCAAGGCACCGGAAATACGCCAATGCACGGAAAGTGCGCCAATGCACGGAAAGTCAAGGGACCCAAAATGCGTTAAGGCACAAAAAATGCGTCAAGAGACTTTACTGCCCTGTTCAGATGTTTCGACGCATTTAAGTGATTTGAAGAAACGGGGCACAGAGAATTCGTTGACACACTGAAAGTGTGTCAACGAATTTCTTGACGCATTTCTCGTGCCTTGATTCATTTTCGGTGTCTCTTAGAATTTTCAGTTTCATTGGTTCTTATCAGCTTACTATGCACGTTTTCAGTGCCTCGACGCTTTTCTCGTGCCTTGGCGCTTTTCCGGATACACTTACCAATCTGCACTCCTCGAGATACCAAACACTTTCAGCGTTCTCCCCATTTTTGAATTGATTCCTTATAATCAACAAATACCATCCAGATTTATCAAACACGAAATTCTCGTTTCTGCAAAAATGGCTTGCGTACCTTCGGCGCGCTTTTCCAAGAACTTACATAATCGTACCCAAAATTTCATGTTCAATATTTTGAATTTCCCAACTTTGACGAAGCCAAATATTGATTTCAATAGATATCGATTTGTCTTGAGGATTCAAATAAGTTGGAAACTTTGTAGAAACAATTCGAAATTGGTCTTTTTGAAATCTCGGATAAATTCCATTATCTGGCATTTCATTCAGAAAAAATCGGCTCATTTGCTCGCTGGTTACTGTAAATTCGATCCAGCTGGTTAGAGAAAGAGACGCAGAGTTTGGCGTTTTTGGAATTGTGATATTCTGTCCCGGAAGACGTTCACGACACCAGACGAAGAAGTTCTTGGCGTCTTCAGCCACAACGATTCCGGTGATTTCATGAGTTTTTGGCCTTGATATTGATCTTCTCTTTGATTTGGCTCTTCCACGCTCCTGAAAATGTCATATTTGGGTTGCACGAGAAATGCGTCAAGGCACCGAAAGTGCGTCAAAGCAACAAAAAGACGATAGGGTACTAGGATGGCACGAAACATGTGTCAAGTCACCGGGAATGAGTCAAGGTGCGGAAAATGCGCCATGGCACCAAAAAGACGCTAAGTAACTAGGACGGCACAAAAAATTTGTGAAGGCACCAAAAGTGCGCCAAGGCACCGAAAAGGCGCTAAAGTATTAGGATGGCGCAAAAAATGCGCCAAGGTGCGGAAAATGCGTCATGGCACGGAAAATGCGTCAATGCACAAAAACGATTTCATCGGCATGCTTGGGCCCTTGTTCAGGCTCTTCCGTTGCATTGACACCGTTCTCGTGCTTTTGCGCATTTCCGGTGCCTTGGCGCGTTTCCGGTGCAGTTCAACTTACCTCATTCCTTATTAAAGATCGTCTTACTGTAGGTTGAATCGGCTCCTGATGCACAGGATGTTGGTTATTCTACAATTATCCTAGAATTTTCTAGAAAAAAACAGGTATTTGAAGACCCACCTGATTATTTGGGAAACTTTTTAGTTTTGTTAAAAGAGCAATTAAATCGTCGGGTTGCGTCTGAAATTTGAGGATTACTGTAGTTTTGAGATTTTATCTAAAACTCACAACTGGTTGTTGTTGAGGTTGATTCGGTGGGGAAAGTGAGCGGAGCTGAAAAAAGCGATGGCACTGAAAATGCGCCAAGGCACCGGAAATGCGCAAAAGCACTGAAAATGCGTCTAGAAAAGCGCAAAAGAACTGGAAGTTCTTTAATACATTTTCTAGTGCCTTGACGCATTTTAGTGCATTGGCATCTTTTCGGTGCCTTGGCGCGTTTTCGGTGTTCACCTCATTTGTTGACCTTGACAAAGATCGTTGACGTATAGTTGGGCGTCCAATTGTCTGAAAAAAGTTTTCTGAAATTTTCCAAAAATTTGAAGACCTTACAGAAATTGAAGCTTCCGATTGAGATCCCAGAGCTTGAGTTTTTCTCTGAAGATTAGAAGGTCTGGCTGGTGTCTGAAAATTGCGTCTCGCAACAGGTTGAGGAGCCATCTGAAAATTTGGAATTTTCAGAATTCTACAGTAACCCATTTTTTGTGTCTTACTGTAGGTTGAATTGGCACCAGACAAGGTGTCTGTTGGTTATGCTGCAAATTGATTTTTTAGAATTTTCTTCTAAAAATTATTTCAAACCCACCGAAATGGGCGGAGCCAAATTCAATAGTGCTAGTACTAAATCGTCATGATTTTGAGTTACTGGAGAAAATTGGTACATTTCGAGCTGAAAATATATAACACTAGTAACGCGCAAAGGCACGGAAAATGCGTCAAGACACTAGAAATGCGCAAAGGCACTGAAATCAAATTTGGCTGTATAGAATCTTTAGGCGCGTTTTGTGATACCTTGTGGCTTTTTCTAGCGCTATGACGCACTTTTAGTGCTTAGGCGCATTTTCCGTGCCTTGACGCATTTTCCGTGCCTTGGCGCATTTTCAGTGCTTTGTCATTTTCTCGGTTCTGTGATAGTGTCGCGGTTCTAATTCAAGCTTTTAGTGCCTTGACGCATTACTGGTGCCTTGACGCATTTCTCGTGCACGCTCACCAACTCCCTCTCTTTCAAAAACCATGCAAATTTTGCACCAATTTTAGTTTTTTGAACAATTGTAGAATATCTTCCAGACGTTATAACTGCCCCGAGGGTATTTCTGAAAATAAAGGACATCTGGACATGTAGAAATACAGACGGACTCACGCAATCTCTCCTACAAACGGATGGAAAATGTTCACAGAATCTTTTGGAATCCAAATTTCCAATTTTAAGCATAATTGATTTTTTTCGGTAAAAAAAGTCGGATGAATTGGGGTTGGGATTACGGTAAAACTCCAACATTCGAAAATGTTAGAATCTGGGTTTAGATACAAATCCATGCTGAGCCAGGTACCAATGTTTGGCATTTCCAGATTTTCAGATTTTAGGAACACATCGAAATATTTTTTGCTGCCCTTGTACCAAACTGAAAATTGATTTGTTCCAAGTATTGCTAACACTATTCCAATAGTTTTAGAATTCTTGGTCTTTGGGATTACTGTAGTCAAATGTTCTATAATCCAAATATCATCTCTACTTTTGATTGCCAGATAATAGGCACCAGATGGGAAGCAAATGTTGTGAGCGTTGCTGAAAGTTGAAAATTTTAAACCCGCACGTCAAGAGCTTCAAAATAAGCCCTAACACTACTAGGCTCCGCCCATTTTTTTTGGCGCATGGACCCCCGCATAGAATCTCTGAAAAAACAAAATTTGAAGAAAGTAGGTCATGATTACACTCATTTTTAAGTGCTTTTTACGCCAAGTTTAAATTTATATAAAATTTCAAGATCAAAGCAGAATGAAGTGAGTTACATCACTTTTAAAGTGCATGCGCCTTTAAAGTCGTAAAAATCAAAATGGGAGTCTAGTCGTGTTTATACTCGTTTCAAAGCTCAAAACACGACAATTTCAAATATTTTTAAAATTTAAAAACATTTCGAAAAAGAACACAGTTATGCTCCGAACAAGGATTTCTGAAAAATTGCTCCAAAAATTGATAACGCCGTAACATGGTTAGTTTTGAATATTTTTCAAAAATTTTTACGTTCTTGAATTTTTCGTGGTAAAAGCTTCAAAATGAGTATAATCATGACTTACTTCCCTGAATTTCATTTTTCGGACCTCCTGTGCGCCTTTAAAGTCCGAAAAACAAAATTGGCGGAGTCTAGTCGTGTTTATACTCATTTTAAAGCTCTCAACGTGCTAAATCTGAATTCACTCCTTAAAACTCACTGGATCTTCCCGAAAAAGTGATGCTTCAATTCTTGTTGATTGCTCATCAAATATTGTTCCAACTTCACAAGAACTCGATTTCCTTGAACTTCAGTTTCATAAATTTCCGATATTATTTCATAGCTAGACACTTGAGATTCTTTGAATTTTTGAAATTCAGAAGACGTGAATTTCAAATTCACCCAATCTCCCATTTTTATGGGCTTTTCTGGGTTCATTTGGAGAATTACATGGCGTTTTGAATCTTTACACCATACAAAGAATCTGTCGTACGACTCCTGAAATAAACTAAAAAGCTATGAAAATGTAATTTTTGGATTTAACGCGTTGAGAGCTTCAAAATGAGCCTAAACACGCCTAGGCTCCGCCCATTTTGATTTTTTGACTTTAAAGGCGCATAGGGGAGTCCGAAATTTGAAAATCTAGGAAAGTAGGTCATGATTATATTCATTTTGAAGCTCTAAACGTCACAAATTCAACTATCAACAAATTTTATTAAAAAATCGAAACTACAAACTACAAAAATTACAAAAACGGCTTACCTGTCCCACAACTATTCCAATAATATTCTTAAACTCGGTATTCATTTTTGTAATTTTTAGGACATTCGAAAAAAAATCGATTTTTTGAATTTCCAAAAAATGTGTGAACAAAAAATAACGGAATATGAGTTTGGCTGTTATCATCTACTATCAGGAAAATGGGCAAATAGTATTAAAATGTCTGTCGTCTCCGTTTTCGGCATACTCTCTCGCTTTTTCATCTTCGCTGGAACTAAAAGAGGGAGGGAAGTTTGACAGGTTTGAAAAGGCCTAAAATTAAGGATGAGGAATATTTTGAAATTGGGAGAACAGCAAAATTTTGGGCCAATTTTTCCGAAAACCTGGAATTTAAAGGCGCATAACATTTTTCATTTTTGACTCTCAACATTGGTTGTTATATCATTTTGAAGCTCTTTAAATTTGCTGTAAATCGGTATAATTTTCAAATTTTGATCTTAATTTTGAAATAAGTTATGCGCCTTTAAATACACCATAGTAGTGGTCGATACACCATATGACATTCAATACTTAAAGGCGCATAACTTTTTTCATTTTTGACTCGCAAAATTAAAATAAATATATTTTTGAAGCTCTTCAAATTTCCTACAATGTGATATTATTTTCAATTTTCTGAAAAAATTTCAGAGGAAGTTATGCGCCTTTAAACACAGGAAATTAATGGTCGATGCACCATGTGGCTGGATGCCACACTTAAAGGCGCATAACACTCTTCATTTTGAATTCTCAAAATTGAAACTTATATCATTTTTAAGCTCTTTAAATTTTCCACAAATTGATATTATTTTTAATTCAGAAAAATATAATCTGAAAATTTGCAAAAATCCAAAAAAAATTTCAATTTCATCGAAATTTATTCAGTCTTTTCAAATTCGAAAAAGAGGAGAAGAGAGCAGAAACTTATAGTAAATATAGAAAAATAATAGAATTTTTAAAAAATAGTGAGAAAATTACAAATAAAAGAACCGATTGGGGTGAAAAATGGGAGAAAGGGAGAATGGATAAAACAGAAATAAACATTAGAAAATGGTATAAACTTTAAAGGCACATAACTTTTTTCAAATACTATCTAAAAATATGAAATTAATACTAATTTGAAGCTCTTAAAATTTGCTACAAAATAATTTAAATTTCAAATTTCAAAGTTAGATTTGAAACAAGTTATGCACCTTTAAATACATTAGAGTAGAGCTAGCTCGTAAGTACACAGTACTTAAAGGCGCATAACTTTATTCATTTTAGGTCCTAAAAATTGGTTTTAAGCTCATTTTGAAGCTCTTAAATTTTTCTACAAAATAATATCAATTTCAATTTCAAGAGTTACGTTTGAAAAAAGTTATGTGCGTTGTCTCTCCTCCGCCTTCTTCTTGTCACTTTTTCCTCGACGGAGCTACGCGGTGCCGGAGTGGGCGGAGCCTAAAATAACCTTTCTTTTTTGAAAGCTCTCAAAAAATGCGGCAAGGCACCAAAAATGCGCAGAGGCACCGA